ACGACGTTTCGGTCCGTCCTGGACCATTCTCAAGTCGATTGTGACTTGAGACAATCGACTTGAGAATGGTCCAGGACGGACCGAAACGTCGTCGTCCCTTCAATTTCTAGTGTGTGGTCTGGTCAACATACTTCAGCCACGTTATTGTGACTCATCGCCTTAACTGTCTAAATTTAACACAAGTGTTAACATTGTCCTCCCATGTGTAACAACCTGTCCTCTTAAGAACGTCGCTTTTGGCCGTTTGTCCGTATAGCCGAATTTGGACGTGATTTGAAAATGAAAAAAAAACGAAAATAAATTTTGGATTTTTTTTCCAACAACATTAAGTTAAGGGTCCTCTGATAGGTTAGGTGGGCAGGAAATTCTCATAAAGTTTCAAAACGTTATGAAAAACGTGAATTGAAAGTCATCTATTCTAACCTTACAGAGTCGGCCGGACGACTCAAACAGAAAACGGAACAGTACGTCACTTTTGTGAGTCGATTTCATTTCAAATTACGTCCAAATTTGAGATATATACAAGAGTTGTTACATTCTTGTACAGCCACTAGTACGCGTAGCGTTTCGGGCAAGTCCTTAATCCTATGGTCCCTGGAATACGATCCCCTGCCGCGAAGAATCGTTTTTTCATCCAAGTACACATTTTACTGTTGCGTTAAACAGAGGCTACAGTTAAGGAATTGCGCCCAGTAAATCCTCCCCGGCCAGGATACGAACCCATGACATAGCGCTCGCGGAACGCCAGGCGAGTGTCTTACCACTACACCACGGAGACTGCTATTTGGCCATAGCGCCACGCATACGAGCGAAAAGTGACGTTATTTTTAAGAGGACGGGTTGATCATTAGCGTGCGTGGCTACACTGTACATTACCAAACAAAAAGATTTTTGAACTGCTAAAGAAATCTACTTTGGGGGAAGTGTCCGGAGACTAGCATCTGACTTTAGGTGCTAGTGTCAAGTTTGACCGCCTTGTGTAGACCCTGGGGGAGGGGGGGAGGCCGTCGACAATTGCGTTACTATGAACCGGTAGTTAACTATCGTTTAGGTGCAATGGCAGGAACGAATTAGTCCGTTAACTAATAAACTAGAGAATTAGTTACACAACTACAATAGATCATGAACGATAGAAATTTACTGAAATGCCGTTCTATTTTAAGGTAATTTTACGATTAATCTCTACGACAGGAAGTTTTATAATTACCGTTGATGGTAAAAACACCAGGGATGGATATACTATCATACTATCATCTCTCCATATACTATCCATATATCATCCATATACTATCATCTCTCCATGTTTAGGAAATTTCACTAGTTACTCAATATTAGAATTACATCTTTAGCCTGCTGAATGCGAGTCATGTTATTAAAAAGTTTTAAATTTAGTTTTAAAGCCATAGTAACTATTGTACACCAACATTAATATTTAACCGAATCTGTAAGGTTGAAGGCCAGACGTTAAGGGCTAGCCTCTCACATTATACTAATAGGGTAGAGGAGAGTCAATGGCGAGTTTGAGTCAGCTATTGTACCCCACGCAGCATTATGCCCACATAACCCAATCTTCGAGTGAAGGAAAACCTGAAATAGTTCCTCCACCCCTAAGGGTGGCTTAATGGCTTAAGGGGCCTCGTAGCCTGGTGGATAGCGCGCAGGACTCTTAATTCTGTGGAGCGGATTCGATTCCCGCACGAGGCAGAAACAAATGGGCAAAATTTCTTTCACCCTGAACGCCCCTGTTACCTAGCAGTAAAATAGGTACCTGGGTGTTAGTCAGCTGTAAGGCTGCTTCCTGGGGGTGGAGGCCTGGTCGAGGACCGGGCCGCGGGGACACTAAAGCCCCGAAATCATCTCAAGATAACCCCCCCCTCCCATATACTTTACTAGTTCCAGTACAAGGAACGAAGGGGAGAATGGCCCCCCCTCCCTTTCCTCTTGCTGGGAGGGGGCCGCAACAAGAGAAAAGGGAAGAGATTCTCCACATACAGATAAACGTCAAGAGACGAAGCAGGAACTGTATACCAAAAGTGAGGTAAAAACCACTGAAATGTTTTGCGTCTCATCCTCCCTTTTATACCCAGTAGCCAACCAAACCCGGCCGCTGATTGGTGGACATTCACCCTAAAACTCACCCCATTGGTTAACATTTTGCGCGTCTGAAGTGTCAGTTAACAATGGCCAACAACCACTCCTTCACTTCCCCATATACGAACGAGTCTCTAATGAACCAATAATGATCCCCAACTTCAATTTTTGAAGTTGTTAATTTCAAAACCTAATTCACAAACCAAATACAACATTCTATTGTAAATGTTGCAACAGAACAACAGGTATAACAGAGCAACATTTGCAATAGAATCGGCAGTGAAGTAGTAATCGTCTGTCAGTCAACAACTGTTAATGCCCGCTCGACAGCTACAATATACAATATATGCAATAACAGACTAAGAAACACAACAAGCCAAACTTCCTGACACAACATTGGATGATGTTAAATATTTGCTTTCAATTGACTTAATAAGATATTGCTCGTTGACGACAAATTGGGTGATTTTACCTTATTGAAGAGTGAACATTTATGCTTTATAATAACTATTAACGTCCAGGATGACATTGTTCAGAATATTACTCGGTACAAGTGGCGTCCTCGACGATCACCACGTGACGCCGGACGGGTCCTCGGCGCTCCTCTCGTCCTTAGAACAAGAATTCCCGTCACCTTCCTCGCTCCTCCTGTCTCCGTCTCCCCAAGGTACTGCTCGAGCGTCTGGAGTATAAGTCTCAAGCCGAGTCTTGCAAGATCTCAGGCGGTTCCTAGCTCCTTCCTACACGCTCTCTATAACCCCAACCTCTTCAGTTCTGCCTGTTAGAGCTGTTTACCTTGAGATTTATAAGCTTATAACCGTCTTATCGTCACCATCTCAGACGACCACAGCCAGACAGTAAGAACGACCTCAGACGACCATAGCCAGACAGGACGACCTCAGACGACCACAGCCAGACAGTAAGGACGACAACTATAAGACCGTCTCGGGGTACTAACTAACATCTACAACGACGGAATAACATAACACGACATTGCCTCTCACCACGACAAGTCCGTCACGTGCCACTATAGAGCCTCTGATGTTGATGTCTCTCGTCAGTCTTGTCTCTCAAGTCTTCCTACTTGGGAACCTGTACACTGAACATTGCTGCCTTCAACAGTGTCAGTGTGTCCTCAGGATGGGTATGGGGCCACTACCACCTGTAGGGTGGGTATTGGATCCACTACCGCTAACCTGTGTGCGGTAGTGGATCCCATACCAAGCCTTTGGATAGTAGTGGACTCCATATCCATCCTAGAGGTGGTACCTGACCCCTTACCCATCCTGTGGATGGTTGTGAACCTAATACCCATCCTGTGGGCGGTAGTGGACCCCGTACCCATCCTGTGGGACGGTAGTGGACCACATACCCATCCAACAGGTGATAGTGGATCTCATACCTATCCTTTTGGATGGCAGTGGACGACATACATCATGTGACTTGTTGTAGACCCTATATCCATCCTGTTTGCAGTAGTCTACCCGATAAATATTCAACGTCACATCGTTTTCTGTTGACGTTCCTACAATCCATTCTCTTTGTTCTTAAAAGCATACACTATTGTATATAATGTTTGGCTCACGAACCATTATTATATGTAATAATTTATAGAGTGCTTATTATAATTTACTGAGAAAGCGCCAAGATTTCTCCTAAGTGCTACCCTTTAACAGGATGCACTGTAGAATAGTGGTTTAAATCATGGGTTAAAACATTAGTTGACAGAATGGAGAGAATTTTGTTTAAACTATTTTAGTAAAGTAATAATTCATCCGTCAACAGCTATTCACTACAAACTTAATTATTAAACCTTAAAATCATCCAAAATACTAAAATAAGGAGCCATACATGGTAGCTAATGTATACCATAGGTGAATTATAAATGTTAATTAATAATTTTAATATATTTATTCAGGTAATGATACATATATTGAAAATGAGTTACAAACAATGTCGGATTTATAGATGAGAGCTAGTACATACAATGCCTGAAGCCACTAATACGCATAGCATTTCAGGCTAAAATATGGAAGCACAGAGTGCATGTGGTAGTACAGAGTGCATGTGCTGGTAGTATATTGGACCCATTACCCATTATGTGGGTGTTATGGGGCCCTATTCCCATCCCGTGCGGGGTAGTGGATAATCCATACCTCATCCTTTGGGCGGTAGGGTAGTGTACCCTATTATATTCGTTTTCTGTAATACATAATGTACGATCCATTTTCTTTAATTTGCATAGAGCATAGCTTATCGTATATATTATAATTTGGCGCCAATTGGAATATTTAGATAATAACTCATAGAATAATTATTATAATTTACTGATAATTACCAAAATTTCTCATAACTAAATTACGAGCTTTCAATAGGATGTAGCTGTTCCGTGATATTCGAACTGGATGTAAAATATTACCCAAATTTTTCCTACGGAAACGTGTGTAAGGAATCATTCAGAACCTTGAATACCACGTATGTCAGACCAATACTGGAATATGCAGGTCCAGCCTCGAGTCCACATGTTGTCAAACACAAAACGAAGTTCGAAAAGGTTTAGAGGTATGTCACCAGGCTAGTCCACGAGCCGAGAGGTATGAACTACGAGGAAATATTGCTGGAACTCAACCTCACTACACGAAGACGGAAGAGTTAGGGGAGACATTATCACTACCTATAAAATTCTCAGAGGAATTGATAGGATAGATAAAAATTAACTATTTAGCACGGGTGGAACACAAACAAGGGGACACAGGTGGAAACTGAGTACCCAAATGAGCCATAGGGACGTTAGAAAGAACTTTTTCAGTGTCAGAGTAGTTGACAAATGGAATGCATTAGGCAGTGATGTGATGGAGGCTGACTCCATACACAGTTTCAAGTGTAGATATGATAGATCCCAATAGGCTCAGGAACCTGTACACCAGTTGATTGACAGTTGAGAGGCGGGACCAACGAGCCAGAGCTCAATCCACATAATCACAACTAGGCGAGTACACCCGAAGTGGGAACGGAAAATTACAATTATCGTTCAAATCTGATCAAACTATTCTGGTGACTACGGCGATGGGACGGGTACTATTGGACGGGTACTATTGGACGGGTGCTATGGGACTTGGACTATGGGACGTGAGGAAGGGTTGGTGCCTGGTAATAGCTCATAAATGTGAATCTACCACAGGGAAACTGTGAACATTTGCAACATAGAAACTATAAGCATTATGTGGCATAAGTACTTTAATATCCTGAGGACAAGTTTGGGACTTCAGGTTACAGCCTGTCTTCACGCCAGGCTCGTTAAAGCGGCAACCGTCCCCAAAAAAGACATTCATTCATTTGAACGTTAAGTTCTCGTAAGTTCACAATATTGTATAATTAAGTTCTGTGTATAGTCAGGTGTTCAGGTTCTGTTGGCAATTATTTGTATCTAATACATAAGTGAAGCATTTACAAGGTTGCAATTCTAACAGAGGTTGCCAGCGAAGCACTTCCAGAAATATTCGAACGTCAGGTTTACACTATTCGAACGTCAGGTTTACACTATTCGAACGTCAGGTTTACACTATTCGAACGTCAGGTTTACACTATTCGAGCGTCAGGTTTACACTATTCGAGCGTCAGGTTTACACTATTCGAACGTCAGGTTTACACTATTCGAACGTCAGGTTTACACTATTCGAACGTCAGGTTTACACTATTCGAACGTCAGGTTTACACTATTCGAACGTCAGGTTTACACTATTCGAACGTCAGGTTTACACTATTCGAACGTCAGGTTTACACTATTCGAACGTCAGGTTTACAATATTCGAACGTCAGGTTTACAATATTCGAACGTCAGGTTTACAATATTCGAACGTCAGGTTTACACTATTCGAACGTCAGGTTTACACTATTCGAACGTCAGGTTTACAATATTCGAACGTCAGGTTTACACTATTCGAACGTCAGGTTTACACTATTCGAACGTCAGGTTTACACTATTCGAACGTCAGGTTTACATAACTATACACAGAATTTTACTATATAATAATATTAACATATGAAAACAAACCTATTTTTTATACACTATGTTAACTGATGAATGCATCTTAGGGGTGAAGATGGCCGCCGCTTTAACGAATCTGGCATGAGGACAGGTTGTATTTAGCATATCATAGCCCATGGGTTAAGGCGCTCATATAGGGTGACCTAGAACACTGGTTCGATCCCACTGTCGTGCTCCAAAGATTTCCTTGTATTACAGTTATTCACAAAAGTATATGACTGCAAGTCCCTGAGATGAATGAGAGCAGGAGGTGGCGAGCAGAACCCCTTAGTGAAGAGTATAAGGCAGGAGTATAGGGACGCTCCCCTCAGAAAAGGGGGGCATGGGGATCTAGGAAGCGTCTAAGGAGCGGAGGTGAAGTGGGTAGAGTCATAGTGGGGCGACGGGGACTGGCTTGCCACCTGGGCATGGACTCGTTCTCCTGGTACCCGCCTATGGTGAGTTGATTAACGTCGATCATCCCAAGTCGACGAGGTGTAGGGAGTCTGGCGCCAATTTCCCCGCGTGGCGGCGCTGCCATACGTGTAACATTGAAGCCTCCGCCTGCCACCATCCTTCTGGGCCGAGTTCTCTCCGGGGAGGATGATGTTGGGTTGTGATGAGTCTGTGGCATCGGTTGATGGTGGGTAGGGGGCTTTTTGGGCACGGGGTGATTGCTAGTTGGGGATTTTGGGTTGTGGTGGGCAGTTTTATTACGACGTTGGGCTCGGGCTCGACTTGGGGAACGACTCTTTGTTTTCCTCTTGTGGCGTTTCTTGCGCGGTCGTGTCAAGCGTCGGAAGTCGTAGTACCTGTAGGAGAGTTTGATGTCTCTGTGCTGGAATGGCTGTTGGAGGTCCTGCCACATGAGGGTCGTCGGGCGAACGTGGTGGCTGACTACATGTAATGGCGGACGGTGGCGGCTGCCACGAGACGTCCGCAACGTCGGTAATGAAGCGGTCAGCGACGGAAGATCGGGTAGACTCCGCGTGTCGTCGTCAGAGCGGGTCGGGTGGCTGTTGTCCTGCTCTGGAAACAGTGTCATGTATGTCGTCCTGGGATGACGTGTTTTACGGCTCGTTCGTCGTTTATCTCGTCCATTAAGAGTCCTGGAATTGTCGTCTCTGGCACGACTCACAGGCAGGCGGGCCGGCCTATCCGTACGGTCATGCGCATAGCGCCTTGCGTACCCGAGATCCTCCTCATCTGCTGACGCAGCCTTCTGCTTGATTCTGACCATCAGGCCACTTGTGTCACTGAGCTCTTCACTGTCGCTACTCACAGAGGAGGCATCGTCAGTGCTGCCACTGGCAGCAGTGTCCGTTCCTGCTGCCTCGCTGCCCACGGGGTCCTTAACACCAGTGGGTTTGGGCAGTGCCCGTGGGCCCCTTTCCCTGCTGCCTGGTGACCATTTGCTTCTGACTGATCCCTGCGGAGTCCGCACCTGCAAGGAAGACGTGATTACAACAGCCATTCCTGCATCGGGGCAAGTTTCACGAAGCAGTTACGCAAGCACTTACGAACCTGGGGCAAGAGTCACGAAGCAGTTACGTAAGCACTTACGAACCTGGGGCAAGAGTCACGAAGCAGTTACTCAAGCACTTACGAACCTGGGGCCAGTTTCACGAAGCAGTTACGCAAGCACTTACGAACCTGGGGCCAGTTTCACGAAGCAGTTACGCAAGCACTTACGAACCTGGGGCAAGAGTCACGAAGCAGTTACGTAAGCACTTACGAACCTGGGGCCAGTTTCACGAAGCAGTTACGCAAGCACTTACGAACCTGGGGCCAGTTTCACGAAGCAGTTACGCAGGCACTTACGAACCTGTACGTCTTTTCTCAATCTTTGGCGGCTTTGTTTACAATTATTAAACAATTAATGAGCTCCGAAGCACCAGAAGCCTGTTTATAACAATAACAACAGTTGATTGGCAAGTTTTCATGCTTGTAAACTGTTTAATAAATGTAACCAAAGCCGCCAAAGATTGAGGAAAGATCTATTTACGAATCTATGCTCAGAAAAAATATTTTTGACAGAAAAATCTCTTTTGCGAACACCCATCAAATTTTTTTTGAGATATATAGAAGAGTTGTTACATTGTTGTAGAGCCACTAGTACGCGTAGCGTTTGGGGCAGGTCCCTGGAATACGATCTGGAGGTACACGTTCGTAAGTGCTTGCGTAACTGCTTCGTGAATCTGGCCCCTGACGCCTCAGGTATTCTCCTCAAGATGCTTGTAGCTTTCACACTACTAATTCTTCTATCTACCCACGCGTAATAAATCAATCTTTGCTCTATTTCACACCTTTTTCTTTACTTTCACGCACACCTATTTACGAATCTATGCTCAGAAAAAATATTTTTGACAGAAAAATCTCTTTTGCGAACACCCATCAAATTTTTTTTGAGATATATAGAAGAGTTGTTACATTGTTGTAGAGCCACTAGTACGCGTAGCGTTTGGGGCAGGTCCCTGGAATACGATCCCCGCCGCGAAGAATCGTTGTTACAACCAAGTACACATTTTACTGTTGAGTTAAACAGAGGCTACAGTTAAGGATTTGCGCCCAGTAAATCCTCCCCGGCCAGGATACGAACCCATGACATAGCGCTCGCGGAACGCCAGGCGAGTGTCTTACCACTACACCACGGAGACTGTTCAAAATAATAATCCCATTCTCGATCCCATGGACCACAATCGAGTTGAGAATGGTCCAGGACGGACCGAAACGTCGTCGTCCCTTCACCTTCTAGTGTGTGGTCTGGTCAACATACTTCAGCCACGTTATTGTGACTCATCGCCTGCAATACCATTCTCATTTACACGCATTTAATAACATGTTTAGTAATATTATATGTCTAGCGTAGTGAAGCCGAAGATCACTGTTCATAGAGCATTCCTCTTGAGGTGTAAACATCCCACGCCCAGCGCTGCAAGCCGTTCTCGCACTTTCTTTAAGTCAATATTGACTTATTAAATAAGTGCATATGTGACATACTAATTTATTGTGAATATTTTAGTTTTCCTTGAAAAGCTTCATAGAAAACACCGACCTTACCTAACCTTGTTAGTATGTTATGACAAGCATCTTATTGCTTCGTAATTGCAATTATTACTTAACTTATTATAGGTATAGGTTACGTAATAATTGTAATTACGAAGCAATAAGATGCTTATCTTAACATACTAAGAAGGTTAGGTAAGGTCGGTGTTTTCTATGAAGCTTTTTAAGGTAAACTAAAATATTCACAATAAATTAGTATGTCACATATGCACGTATTTAATAAGTCAATATTGACTATAAGAAAGTGCGAGAACGGGAACAAGACAGCGCTGCTGTCTTGACGTCACATAAAAATACATATTTCCTTTATCTTTCACTTTCTTGTAGCTGTTATTCCGTCTACTTAATATTCATGACGCAAACCTTGCTGCCAGTGTTGGGTGTTGGGCGCGGGAAAATACAAACCCATTCTCAGTTGCTTCTTATCTTCCCTGGAGCTTCAAGACATCAGCCAACGATGGTATTTCATTCTTGTGCGGCCTGTCTCAGCTTATTCCAACTTCCTTGGGAAATTTCCTTTGGCAACTCCGTCTGGTGATGTACATGGGTCTGTGTGGGGCAGCAGCTCGGGTGTTAGACTAACACTGGTTGTGTATATATAAATAAATGGAATTTAGATATAAATATTATACAAATCCGGGCTTCGGATGCAGGCGAGGAGTCACAATAACGTGGCTGAAGTATGTTGATCAGACGACACACTAGAAGGTGAAGGGACGACGACGTTTCGGTCCGTCCTGGACCATTCTCAAGTCGATTGTGAATCGACAAGAATCTTCACAATCGACTTGAGAATGGCTTATCAACAGGTGCATTGTAGCATAATGAGAATTTAAAAGGTACAAGGCAGTAAAAAATGTGTTCAATATAATTAACATGATAACAAGTCTGGATTCACGAAGCAGTTACACAAGTACTTACGAACGTGTACATATCTTTCCTCAATCTTTGACGGCTTTGGTTACATTTATTAAACAGTTTACAAGCATGAAAACTTGTCAATCAACTGTTGTTATTGTTATAAACAGCCTCCTGGTGCTTCGGAGCTCATTAACTGTTTAATAATTGTAAACAAAGCCGCCAAAGATTGAGAAAAGATGTATAGGTTCGTAAGTGCTTGCGTAACTGCTTCGTGAATCTGGTCCCGGGCTCGTAAGTGCTTGCGTAACTGCTTCGTGAATCTGGCCCCAGGTTCGTAAGTGCTTGCGTAACTGCTTCGTGAATCTGGCCCCAGGTATCGTAAGTGCTTGCGTAACTGCTTCGTGAATCTGGCCCCAGGTTCGTAAGTGCTTGCGCAACTGCTTTGTGAATCTGGCCCCAGACTGCTCGCAGGAAGAAGCGTCAGACAGAATGGTGATATGCACTGTATAGACAGAAAACTGGTATGAATACACACATGAAAGACAGGTGTGGTGTCTGAAGTTTACACACCTGCTGGACGCCCAGATGAAGGCGGGAGTGTCTGGTGTGTAGAGGGGGGCTGGCGGGACCCTTACCCCTGGGAAGATCGTGGAGGGGCTGGGCTGAGGGCTGAGTGTAGGGAATCAGCCCCAAAAACTGGTAGTAGTCCAACACCGCCATGACGATATTGCGACCTGTTCGCAGATCTGATCAAAGGTTAAGGAAGACACATACAACTGCTTTTGCTAATTCTGACACGCGGTGGAAGAGCGTGTCAGACATGTGTTGATTCTGTATATATATATATACATACATAGAAATATTGTATGATGCTGTTATATGCACAAATATATCAGTTATACAGATATGCAGGCGAGGAGTCACAATAACGTGGCTGAAGTAGGTTGACCAGACCACACACTATAAGGTGAAGGGGCGACGACGTTTCGGTCCGTCCTGGACCATTCTCAAGTCAATTGTCCCGCATTCGACTTGAGAATGGTCCAGGACGGACCGAAACGTCGTCGTCCCTTCACCTTCTAGTGTATGGTCTAGTCAACTGTTATACAGCTATATAACATATCACAATACACCCAGAGGGAAATAATACAACCTATGATCATCAGAGACAAACAGACATGTTGCTTGGAAACGGGAATGAATCGAGAATTAATATTAGATAACTTTAACCATGCTAAGTAAACTAGGATCACCATGGGTAGTATAGAGACATGGATATCAAAGCTACTAGAGACAGCAAAGAGGAATTTCCCGAACCAACATGTGAATGTGGCCATAAGAATCGAAGTTATAAGCCGTCCTGATTAACAGAGATTTCCAGAGTTAAACATTTGGAAAGCAAAATTTGCAGCCTTCTTTTAAGTAAGAAATCACAGAGGTTTTGAACTTTGAGGAAGACATCGAAAATACACATCCAAAACTTCTCATACGTATCACACAGATATCACACTAACGTGATGCATCAAATGAACAAAGTCCACAAGGGCCGACAGTGGATAAGGCAGTGTCTGTGATGCTCCCAGACGCAGGTTCGAATCCTCGTCACGGCCCTTGTGGATTTGTTCATCTCATACCTGAGACCAGTCCAAGAGAATGCCGCCACGTCGAAGAGCCAATAGCTAAAAAATATACAAGAAATCCTGAGAAGGTTATCTTGAGATGATGATTTGATGAGGTACAGAGATTTGCGCGAGGCTTGTCCCAGAACTATAATGATGGATATGAAAAATGGATAACGTGGGATGGGATACGAAGAATGGATGAGACAATGAATTAAAAAAATAGTTTTCGAAATGGCTGTTCAAATACGTTTATCGATATGATAAAATACATCTCAAAGGGATAGAGTAGCTTAGGTTATTTCTACCCTTTGGGTGAGAGAGGAGCCGGTCGGCCGAGCGGACAGCACGCTGGACTTGTGATCCTGTGGTCCTGGGTTCGATCCCAGGCGGCGGCGAGAAACAATGGGCAGAGTTTCTTTCATCCTATGCCCCTGTTACCTAGCAGTAAAATAGGTACCTGGGTGTTAGTCAGCTGTCACGGGCTGCTTCCTGGGGGTGGAGGCCTGGTCGAGGACCGGGCCGCGGGAACACTAAAAAGCCCCGAAATCATCTCAAGATAATCTCAAGATAACCTCAAGAGAGAGGAGGGAATGTTTACAAACTATAAGAATGAAACTAGAGGGTATGGCTACACAGATGAACGAGAAATATAAAGATAAACGAGATAAACGTTTAAACGAAGATAAACGAAGATAAACGAGAAAATAAATCTCAAGTATTAGAATAATGAATTACCTAGGTGGTGGTTTGCAGGAAAAAAAAGAAATTAGCTACACAATGTTAAAACTAAATACGATTAGAAGATGGAAGAGAGACGACAATGTTTACAGTCTCTTCCCAAAGAGAAAAACCAGTTAGCAAAATGTTAAATAGAGCTGTAATCAATCGGAATAAGGATCGATTTACGCATGTATGATGAGCTCAATTTGAACCCTTGATAAAATTAAATCAATATACTTAATATACGAGAACTGGCTCTTGTTACCATAGGATATGTTGGTTACTAATGTTACTGAATATCTACGTCTGAGGTAAAATATTCGTCAATGTTCGAGACATTACTTAGACAAGTTAATGTAGAAAGTGTTGGACCCTAATTGTCTGCAGTGGTCAATACACTGCAGACAATTAGGGCTTAATTGTCTTAGTAATTTAGGGCCTAATTGCAGACAATTAGGCCCCGCTAGTGTCAATTAGGGCCTAAATTACACCGCAAACACAATGGCTCTTGCGAACCGCCCTAAGCAACAGTCTGTTGAACCAAGTTATCAAACGTCAAACCATAGATTGGGCGTGGGAAGTAGAAGAACCCCCTATAACCAACACTCCTGGGGCCAGATTCACGAAGCAGTTACCCAAGCACTTACGAACCTGTCCATCTTTTCTCAATCTGTGGCGGCTTTGTTTACAATTATTAAACAGTTAATGAGCTCCGAAGCACCAGGAGGCTGTTTATAACAATACCAACAGTTGATTGGCAAGTTTTCATGCTTGTAAACTGTTTAATAAATGTAACCAAAGTCGTCAAAGATTGAGGAAAAATGTACACGTTCGTAAGTACTTACGTAACTGCTTTGTGAATCTGGCCCCAGGTTCGCAAGTACTTGCGTAACAGCTTTGTGAATCTGGCCTCAGGTTCGTAAGTACTTGCGTAACAGCTTTGTGAATCTGGCCCCAGGTTCGTAAGTACTTGCGTAACAGCTTTGTGAATCTGGCCACAGGTTCGTAAGTACTTACGTAACAGCTTTGTGAATCTGGCCCCAGGTTCGTAAGTACTTGCGTAACAGCTTTGTGAATCTGGCCACAGGTTCGTAAGTACTTGCGTAACTGCTTTGTGAATCTGGCCACAGGTTCGTAAGTACTTGCGTAACTGCTTTGTGAATCTGGCCCCAGGTTCGTAAGTACTTGCGTAACTGCTTTGTGAATCTGGCCCCAGGTTCGTAAGTACTTGCGTAACTGCTTTGTGAATCTGGCCACAGGTTCGTAAGTACTTGCGTAACTGCTTTGTGAATCTGGCCACAGGTTCGTAAGTACTTGCGTAACTGCTTTGTGAATCTGGCCACAGGTTCGTAAGTACTTGCGTAACTGCTTTGTGAATCTGGCCACAGGTTCGTAAGTACTTGCGTAACTGCTTTGTGAATCTGGCCCCAGGTTCGTAAGTACTTGCGTAATTGCTTTATGAATCTGGCCACAGGTTCGTAAGTACTTGCGTAACTGCTTTGTGAATCTGGCCACAGGTTCGTAAGTACTTGCGTAACTGCTTTGTGAATCTGGCCACAGGTTCGTAAGTACTTGCGTAACTGCTTTGTGAATCTGGCCCCAGGTTCGTAAGTACTTGCGTAACTGCTTTGTGAATCTGGCCACAGGTTCGTAAGTACTTGCGTAACTGCTTTGTGAATCTGGCCCTGTAGGCAAGATAACCGTCAGATAATCTATGTATGGGGAAGGATACAGAGCTCCTCGGTGTATGGGATAATGTGTCCTCGCTGGTTCCTGTAGCCGTAGATAGAGGTGTGGATGGAGTACACATTGGCCGAGTCCTTCAAGTTGTTACACAACCACCTATTGAGACATTTAGAAGATTAATTTTTTTGTGTTTTGAAATATCTACAAGAGTTGTTACATTCTCGTACAGCCACTAGGACGCGTAGCGTTTCGGGCAGGTCCCTGGAATAATGACAGATCTAGGAAACATATCTAATAACAGATCTAATAACAGATCTAGGAAACAGATCTAGGAAACATATCTAGGAAACATATCTAATAACAGATCTAGGAAACAGATCTAGGAACTTATCTAGGAAACATATCTAGGAAACAGATCTAATAACATATCTAGGAAAAACGAGGACTCTGTATATATGGGTTAGTATGAAAATCTCTATAAGAACAATGTTACATTGTGGGTCTTATCAGAAACATTGTGGGTTTTATCAGAAACATTGTGGGTCCTAAATCCCACCTATTGAGACATGAGGGTCACATTTAGAGGTCACAGTCGTTGCGATTAATAACAGATCTAGAAGAACTAGGACCCAGTTCACATGGGTTAGTATGAAAATCTTAACAGAGTGTCAAAAAACCCTGTACAGCCAGAGATACGAACAAAGCCACTTCTCGTACACACAGAAAATGAATACACCGAGAGACCCACAATTAATAAAAGGGGGAACTTGTGGCTGCAAAAGATAGAATTCCAAATTCATTCAACATGTGGAGATTATCAAGCCATGGCGCACCAGGCTAAGCCAGGGAGCACCAGGCTATGCCAGAGCGCACTAGACTAAGCCAGGGCGCATCAGGCTAAGCCAGGGCGCACCAGACAAAGCTACAGCGCACTAGAATACACTAAACTACACCACACTAAATCAAAGCAAGATTCAGACCACATAACATACCCCCAGTATGCTACACTACACAACTTTGCACACACCACAATACAATACACATCCTCACACTACACCCTGTACACAACATACACATCCCAGTACCACACTACACCCCAGTACACATCACTACACCCCAGTACACTACACTACACATCACCTGCGTGCGGAGTGAGCCTTGGCGGGGTCCTTGTTGTAGATAGTGTTGCCGTGACTGTAATCTTCACAGGAGTGACTTAACATCTTAGGAAATACAATGTGTCTCTCGTGCCTGAAGGAAGGAGGAATCCCAGTTACTCATCACCAGGTTCTACTCATCAGGGTGGTCGTTGGTGTATACCAGTATACAGTGTCTACTCTACAACTCTACCCTCTACTCCTTACCTGTAGACATCATCGTATGAGTTTCCGTAGACGAAGGTGCCCAGGAGAGAGGAGTGAGCGTGGAGGTCCAGGACCAAGTCCAGCTCACACCACTGTAAGGGAGAGACGCATGTTACAAACATCCCATCATCCCAAAACATCTCGAAGTCCTGTGGTCAAATAGAACACGCAATAACATTACGTACTCACGCAGTAACATTACGTACACACGCAGTAACATTACGTACACACGCAGTAACATTACGTACACACGTAGTAACATTACGTACACACGCAGTAACATTACGTACACACGTAGTAACATTACGTACACACGCAGTAACATTACGTAGACACGCAGTAACATTACGTACTCACGCAGTAACATTACGTACACACGCAATAACATTACGTACACACGCAATAACATTACGTACTCACGCAGTAACATTACGTACACACGCAGTAACATTACGTACTCACGCAATAACATTACGTACACACGCAGTAACATTACGTACACACGGAGTAACACCACGTACACGCGACCTTTCCCACACAGCGGGAGAGAATCGGTAATAGCAACAATTCGTCTTGGATACAAATACCCATGGAGATTTGAGATGGAAACAACAGCTGAGCAGCGGAGCTGTAGAATCTGTGATGAGAGTGACGGACACCGCCCTGACCACTACCTGAGAGAATATGAATATCTAAGACATTAAAAAAATATGTAGCCTAATACACCCCCACATTGAGCTAGGAAAATACCATTTGTTTTGTTCTTAAAAAGATTTTTCCTATTTTGCACCCGCAAGATAATCTAAACTTTAGGGGTTGACAAATGCTAATTTTTGTTTGATTAACTGTCTAAAGTGAACAGGTTAACAAGTCCCAGCTGTGTCTCGATACAAGTGACAGGATGAACAACCCAGCGGGTTTTCTTCCTATTGGGGAGTGTTGTACATGCTGCTATGGCGGTGTGTTCAGTCACAGGATGAGTGGTGCTGCCCAATACTGTCACTATGGCGGTGTGTCCACTCACAGGATGAGTGACGCTGCCCAATACTGTCTTTATGGTGGTGTGTCCACTCACAGGATGAGTGTCGCTGCCCAATACTGTCACTATGGCGGTGTGTCCACTCACAGGATGAGTGACGCTGCCCAATACTGTCACTATGGCGGTGTGTCCACTCACAAGATGAGTGGCGCTGCCCAATACTGTCACAATGGCGGTGTGTCCACTCACAGGATGAGTGACGCTGTCCAATAAACTCGGCCCTCGGGGCAAAATAAAAAAAAATATTTTAAAAGAACCTCATAGTGCTACCGAGCTCATAAACCGTTTAATAATTGTAAACAAAGCCGCTGTGTTATAGGAAAGACGTACAGGTTTCGACAATGAACCGTGAGTTGGCCTTGGGTGTCGAGCCTCCCTACTCTGAATCCAGTCCTGCACCTCTTTCTGTGGGACACATTCTCCTCTTGACCCAAAATACCTCGTAAATGCATTCTGGGAAGCTTCAAACTATCTAATCAACTGAACCACCTAAAATTCCTCCTCATGCCATACCTTGAAGTTATCTTGATATGATTTCGGGGCTTAGCATCCCCACGGCCCGGTCCTCAACCAGGCTATTGTAACATTCCTGGTCAGTTCGAGATTTTTTAAGGATTTGTCCAGAGGAACTACCAGTGAGGGTGGAACCACAGTGGTAGAACCACAGTGGTAGAACCATCGAAGAGGGGAACCACAGCACACCACCCTCCCCTTTCCAGCGTCTCCCCTCCCCTAGGGCTCACCACCCTCCCCTTCCTCTCCCCTCACAGTTGTAAAAACAAAGGGGAATGAAGCAGATGGGAACTGATGTGAAAATACCAAAGCTCTCAACATTCTGAAAATCCGCTGGTAGAAACCGTCATACCTAGTTACCAGGGATCAAATAGGGGAAAAGGGGGGATAGACGAGGGGAGAAAAGAGGGGAAATGTAAGGAAAGTGAGAGAAGAGAGAGAGCAGGCTTTCTAAGCCATGTTTGGAGGCATAGGTTGTGTCTATACGGCAGGAAGGTCAAGCTCCGTCAAAGCTTGACCTTACAGCCCATGCCACTGTCAACACGCGGCTCTCACCGGCTAGAACAACAATAGTGGATGAAATTGCTCCGCCCAATTACACAGTCTCTAGAGATTTCAATTAGGTTACGAGAGCCCAAACGCAATTCTTCGCAGACCAAGAGAAAACGCATGTCCACAGAAAACGGATATCCAAAGAAAACGAGCAACACCCGCCCAGGGAGAGCGGGCGAACGAGCCAGAATATATGATAAGTTTTCGTCCCGATTTGCATAGGTATTGGGCCTTTTGTCTAAACTAATGGCGGAGCGAAGACCGTGCCGACACAACGCAACACTGCCAAATATTAGCGGCACCACACTGTTCCCCCCTTCCCCTCCTCACCCCCCTTTTCTCACCCCCTCGGACGAGGGGCAGAGGAAGGAAGCGGTCAAAGGGAAAAGGGATTTGGGCGGGAAGAGAGAGAGAGAGAGGGGGAGAGAGAGAGAATGAGAGAGAGAGAGAGAATGAGAGAGAGAGAGAGAGAGAGAGAGAGAGAGAGAGAGAGAGAGAGAGAGAGAGAGAGAATGAGAGAGAGAGAATGAGAGAGAGAGAATGAGAGAGAGAGAGAGAATGAGAGAGAGAGAGAGAGAGAGAGAATGAGAGAGAGAGAAAGAATGAGAGAGAGAGAGAGAGAGAGAGAGAGAGAGAGAGAGAGAGAGAGAGAGAGAGAGAGAGAGAGAGAGAGAGAATGAGAGAGAGAGAATGAGAGAGAGAGAATGAGAGAGAGAGAATGAGAGAGAGAGAAAGAGAGAATGAGAGAGAGAGAATGAGAGAGAGAGAATGAGAGAGAGAGAATGAGAGAGAGAGAAAGAATGATAGAGAGAAAGAATGATAGAGAGAGAATGAGAATGAAAAGAGGAATTAGACATTGGGTGCCAATGGATAGGAACAGCAGGTGGATAGTCAACTAGAAGGTGAAGGGACGACGACGTTTCGGTCCGTCCTGGACCATTGTCACAATCGACTTGAGAATGGTCCATGACGGACCGAAACGTCGTCGTCCCTTCACCTTCTAGTGTGTGGTCTGGTCAACATACTTCAGCCCCGTTATTGTGACTCCTCGCCTGCAGGTGGATAGTGAAGATCATGGGGGTACTGGGGCTAGAGGGCAGTCGACTAAGGCAGCGTCTGGGATCATCCCTAACGTAGGTTCGAGCCCTCATCACGGCTCTTGGGCACCAAATCCTTTGTGGGCCTTGCTACAGGCAACTGGCTGCCGGCTGCTACAAGCAACAGCCTGACCAATCAAGTTTTTACTCGAAAAAGGCCGACGCTTAGCGCGTAGCACGACTCTAAATCGACATAAATTTCAGGTAAATGCAGGTAAACGGTGTAGATAGACCAGGAGGAACTTGGTGTAAATGTAAATGTGTAAATGATCCCCCCCCACTAGTGTCAGTGACCCCCCACTACGTCAAGAAACTGTCGTATTAGAGTGCCCTATCCTAACCTACCATAGGACTCACAAACAGAAAACGGGTCAGTATGAACGAGAACAGGTTGTTAGTTTAGGGGGAAGTGATGGGGTTATCACCCCCCATCACCCTTGAATCCCCTCCACCATCACCCAACTTCCCCCTCCCCCATCACCTGACTCCCCCCCTCTCCCCCAATCACTTGTTTTAAGTGAACAAATCTACAAGGGCCGTGACGAGGATTCGAACCTGCGTCCAAGAGCACTTGTTTTAAGAACCAGTCCTTAAAACAAGAACAATTTCTAGTGAACCACCACCACTGCACAGATGGTGGTGGGGCCTGTGGCTGAGTGGACAGCGCTCTGTACTCCTAATGCTAGGGGGTCTGGGTTCGATGCCCGGTGGAAACAAAATGTGCAGAGTTTCTTCCCCTACAGGAAGACTTCTATAGGAGCTTCTTCCTCCTCTTCTTCTTCTACAGGAGCTACAGTAGAGAAGATGGCTGTAACCTGGACGACAATATCACGTCTCTGTGACCTGGAAATAAGCCTCCAGACGAGGCCTAACCCTAAACTCCTCCTTTCCCCTCCCTCTAAAATATATATACACCTTTCCCAGCACATCATCCTCCCTCCCACACACACTCTGACATCCGTAACCCCTTTTCCATCCCAGATATACCCTCCCTACCCTACCCTTCCTCCCTTTTCTAGCAGTACATCACCTTAACCCCTTCCTCTCTCTCTCTCTCTCTCTCTCTCTCTCTCTCTCTCTCTCTCTCTCTCTCTCTCTCTCTCTCTCTCTGAAAAGTACCATCCCTTTCCAGCAGAATTCCTCACAGGGATAGGGAAGGGACTAGAGATGAGGGGCCCGGGAGATGAGGAATAGAATAGAATAGAAGGAATACATGAGGGATGAGAATAGGCGTACAGCCTCGCGGCTGGCGACGAAGGCTGACTCAATTTCACAGGAGTGGAATTGCATTCCTGAGGTCTCATAAGTGAGGAGGGGAGCCCCGCCCCCTCATTGTCACTGGGGTTGGGAAGGGGGGGGGAGGGGGTAATGAACTTTTCTCCTACCCTCCTCCACCTTTGCATCAATCACCACAACTTATACATCGCGTCACAACTCCTACATCACAAGCTCAACCAACATACAACTTAATACATTTGTGGAGGAGGAGGAAGAGATGGAATAGGAGAAGGAAGAGGTGGAAAGGGAGGAGGAAGAGTAGGAAGAATGAAAGAACGACGACAGAATGAAAGCAGATCTATGCAGAGATCTACTGAGCCTACATAGTTATGTAGCATACATTGTTACATGGAATATGTGTACACACACACACACACACACACACACACACACACACACACACACACACACACACACACACACACACACACACACACACACACACACACACAAAGTACTGGTAGCTGTACATAAAGGGATGCTAGATGGATTACAAATAAAAGCATCGCGTGCAAGAAAGAGCGCGGAGAACCAACCACAAATTCTTGCAATGTCAGAAACGATATTAACGAGCATTAATCCTGAAAAAAAAATCAAAATTCTCCATCAGTTAATATGGAAGGAGAGCATCTATTTCTCCACCTCGTCTATCCCCCATCAGTATTTTTCATATATTGATCATATCCTCTATTCCTTCTCTAGGGTTGTGAGATTTAGGATACAGCATTCAATGCTTAACACATACCCCCAGTCCAAGTATTAGGAATTAAAGGAAGGAAAAGAGAGGAAGGAGGAGGAAGATATCCAGGTGTCGGAGGTATAGGAGGAAATGGAAGGAGGAAGAGAAGGAGAAGAAGAAGGAAGAGTGTGGTGACCCCTGATCATCTGGAAGTCGCCAGTCAGGGACAGGCGTCTTGGGCACCCAACATGGCAATGGCAAGGGTCATATTGACTCTTGTGAATGGGCGACGTAAGGGCGATAATACGCGCCAAGGGGCGGAGAACATTGTCTCTCTCTTGTCCTTGGAAGATTCACTTTTCATCAGTGAATCCCAGATGGCAAACTTTCTCACAAGAGGGAGATAATTGTTCGTTTTTGTTCCTTGACGCCACCCCGCGCCACCCCGCGCCACCCCACGCCACCCCGCGCCACCCCACGCCCATTATTTCAAGAGCGAGAGAGAGAGAGAGAGAGAGAGAGAGATGTAGGAGCCTACATTCAGCAACCAGAGAGAGATGAAGGACCTTCAGGAGCCACACACGAAGGAGTCTACCACCTTCAGGAACCCAAAACAAGAGGAGGACCTTACCTGCGCTTGGTCCAGCTCCTGAAGGAGGGTCTTGGCAGCATAAACGGTTGGGTGCCCCCACTCACTAGCCTCGCCCCATGACCGGTTCAAGTCGAATCCCATCAGAGTCGACCTGTAGTGAGGGAAAAGATCATCAAAGTCGATCTTCAGCAAGGAAAAGATCATCACAGGTTGTTAAGTCAACTCTTCACGAGCAAAACAAATTATATGAACTAAATAGGTAATTAACCAATCAACAGGACATAATTAGACATGAGAAAGGGGCAACTAGAAACTTGATGAAGGAGGGAGAATGGAAGATACTAAAGACATGGTCAAATTCAATCACGAAACCTCTATATCTTTCAGTCTTCACGAGGGGGCATTATTATCCTTTATTAAACAGTTTACCAGTTTACTGATAAACTTCGTACCGACCCAGGAACACAGAGTGTTTAGTAAATGCAAAGAAAACCGTCATGATTGAGGGAAGATGTACAGGTTTCGCAAATGGCTACATAAATGCTTGATGATTCCTGGAAACGGGAACAGCTTAAGAATAATGACCTGGAAAATACATAACAATTCTTGAGAAAACGTCAAAAGTCCTGACGATTAAAGAATACCTGCAATTAAGTCTTACTGGTATTGTGTTTTACTAATATTGTCCACAAAGAATATATTATCTGTGTGGAGAGTTGTGGTAAACAAATTCTGGTATTGTCCATACACCTGTGTGTGGACAATATTGGTAAACAAACACACCTGTGTGTGGACAATATTGGTAAACACACACACCTGTGTGTGGACAATATTGTTAAACACACACACCTGTGTGTGGACAATATTGGTAAAAAAGCGGGTGGCTTATAGGCTTTCACCTGTATTTACCTAGGTAGACACCTACGTGTCCCTCACCTGTATCTACTTAGGTAGACACCTACGCATCTCTCACCTGTAGTTACCTAGGTAGACACCTATGCGTCCCTCACCTGTATTTACCTAGGTAGACACCTACGTGTCCCTCACCTGTATTTACCTAGGTAGACACCTACGCATCTCTCACCTGTAGTTACCTAGGTAGAGACCTACGCATCTCTCACCTGTAGTTACCTAGGTAGACACCATCAGGGTTCATCATGGGGATGATCTTGAAGACTACGTGTTCGAGCAGGGTGTTGGCTTCACTCGAACCACTGACCAGAAGTTCCACCATTCCTGAGGAGACAAAACCGTGTGTTGAACGGTTTGCTGGTCAGTCCGTTCTTGCACTTTCGTATAGTCAATATTGACTTATTAAATACGTGCATATGTGACATACTAATTTATTGTGAATATTTTAGTATACCTTGAAAGGCTTCATAGAAAACACCGACCTCACCTAACCTTCTTAGTATGTTAAGATAAGCATGTTATAGCTTCGTAATTAAAATTATTACTTAACCTATTATAGGTTATTATTGGTATAGGTTAAGTAGTAATTGTAATGTGCCCAGCCCGTCCTCCAAAAGACTCAAAGTACATTCCATCCACCCGCCAACCCCCCGGTGTTTACGAATGAAAAACGGTTTATACACGACTCTCAACTGCTGATATTCGAACACTTCCGGAACAAGTGCTTCACTGACGACTTGTGTTCGAACCACAACGCTGTAAATGCTTCACCCACGTACTACAAATACAAATAATCGCCAACAGAACCTAACCTAACCTAACCTATGCCTATATATGTAAAATATGCTAATATATTATAATATTAAATTATATTTGAGAAAATTCCCGTTTTGAATGAACAGCATGTTAAAATTTATGAATGCGTCTGTGGGGTCGACCGCTGGATGGAATGGACTTGAGTCGAGGACGGGTTGGATAAACAGCCCGTCCTTATCAACAATAGCTAAAATACGTTTTTTTTTATTTGGATAGAAAACGGAACCTAAACACCGAACTATACATAGAATTTTATTGTATAATAATATTGATTGTTTACGAGAATAAAGTAATTTTGAATACACAATATTTGAAAATTGATGATTGTAACTTTGAGAACGGGCGCTCCTCTAACAGCCTGGCCTGAGTAACTATGATTAAAATGAATAAAAAGTAAGGTACTAAAAATACAAATAAAAGACAACGGAACACTAATGCCTAACCTAACCATACACACGATTCTTATAAATATACAAAATTTATATATATCTGATAAATTGTTGATTTTCAGTATACAAACGGGTTAAATTTGATGAATGTGTATGTTGGTTTGGCCATCGCTCGGGCAGGTGTTTAAAGCCGTATCTACTGGCGGGTGTTTAAAGCCGTATCTACTGGCGGGTGTTTAAAGCCGTGTCTGCTGGCGGGTGTTTACATCCATGTCAGCTGGCGGGTGTTTAAAACCATGTCAGCTGGCAGGTGTTTACAGCCGTATCAGCTGGCGGGTGTTTAAAGCCGTGTCAGGTGCCGGGTGTTTACAGCCGTGTCAGCTGGCAGGTGTTTACAGCCGTGTCAGCCGAGGCCGTCACCGTGACACGACCATAGCTACCCGAGCGGGAAATGGGACGTAAAATGGTCATTGGAAAAGGTTAATGAAATGATACCGAGTCAATGTATCGAGGGAGTTGTAAATGAAACGGAATAAATTGTTAAGTGGAGTCCGGTTGTTGGTGTGGTGGCGTGTGGGGAGCGTGTGGTGTGTGGGGGGCGTGTGGTGTTGTGTTGTTGGTGGTGTGTGGTTGTGTGTGGGGGGCGTGTGGTGGTGTGTAGTGGTGTGTGGGGGCGTGTTTAAGCGTATAGAGGCGTGTAGAGCTGTATAGAGGTGTTTAGAAGCGTGTGGAGGCGTGTAGAGCTGTATAGAGGCGTGTGGAGGCCTGTACAGCTGTATAGAGGCGTGTGGAGGCCTGTACAGCTGTATTGAGGCGTGTAGAGCTGTGTGGAGGCGTGAAGAGCTGTATAGAGGCGTCAGAGACATGGGTAAAGACTGAACCTAAACACCACCACGAGATCGGTTACAGTCTCAAACCAGGAGAGAAAACAAAGAAAATAATTAGGTGAAACTAAACAAAACTGAAGAAATCATTCCAATTAGTTTTTTTTATTTACATTATCTGCAAATACTGACAAATTTAAATATAAATTTTTGAGGTGTTATTATGAAATTATACATTTGTTACTAGCTTTCTGATGATGTAGAATATACATCGTAACGTTGATCATTTAATGTCTTTGAACGTTATTTTATGCGTTCATAACGTCATAACGCAAACGTCAAAATCCTGAACGGACAAATAAAGGGGTGCTATGTATCATAGGGATCTTCTATGTGTAGCTCGTTAGGTTAAGGTAGTTTATAATCGAGCGTTTTAGAACACTATTTTCTAGACGTTGTGACGACTTGAGAGGACGGAATGGCCAGCTACCCAAGCCGGGATGTCTCTCTGTCTCTGTCTCTGTCTGTCTCTCTTTCTGTCTCTCACCCTGGACGATGAAAGAAGCTGGGGACTCTCCCCCGTGGACGCGAGCCATCACCACTACCACTCGCCTGGGGACACGGCCGCCTCCTGCAGGAGGAGAGAGGTGGTTACTGCCGGAGGTGAAAAGAATTTGGGAGCGTGAGAGAGATGGGGGGGATGTGGGGAGAGAGAGAGTCCTTAGAACACTATAGCAGTGATCTACTATTGCTTAGAACACCAGATTCACTCACTCAGAACACACTAGAGACCCACCTAGCGGAATAGGCACCGGTTCGTCGTCCTCTTCGTCGTCGCGGAGGGAGGTAGTAGGAAGGACCTTCGTGGAGGCTTCGACGGCCGCCCCGCGAGCCTCCGCCATAGCCTGCACGGGTCCCTTGTAGTTGTGGGGGCTGGTGATAGTCAATACATCACATCGGCGTTTCATCTGTCAACACAAAGACTCTTATAAGTCACTATAACCCCACATGGGTCAATAGCCTTAGTCGCGGTGTCATAGCGATTGCTTAGGATACCCTCCCTTCGTATTTCATAATATTGGTGATAGTGTCGACTCGTATAGTTCCCGCTGAATGGCGACAGAATAGTGATTTGTTTATCTAAATATTCGTGATCGTCTGAGAGCATATTACGGGGTTCAGTAATTTTTTACATGTAAACAGGTAAAATAAACCTTTCTCGTAAACACAGATTATTCTCAAGTTTAAACTTTAATATAATAGAAATCGTTGGTTTAAATTATAACAAGTTTATGCTAAAAACGTTTATTTTTTAAGAATTTGGTTTTCTGTAAACGGAATTCGTGGGAACACTTAAATAGTTTTGAATTCCGTATATTTCAATAGTATATCGTTCAATAATTACAAATCCATATTATCATCAATAATACATCGTATTAACATAACCCGACAAAACAAAGAACATAACATAAGAACAAAGGTAACTGCAGAAGGCCTATTGGCCCATACGAGGCAGCTCCTATTCTATAACCACCCAATCCCACTCATATACTTGTCCAACCCGTGCTTGAAACAATCGAGGGACCCCACCTCCACAATGTTACGCGGCAATTGGTTCCACAAATCAACAACCCTGTTACTGAACCAGTATTTACCCAAGTCTTTCCTAAATCTAAACTTATCCAATTTATATCCATTGTTTCGTGTTCTGTCCTGTGTTGATACTTTTAATACCCTATTAATATCCCCCCGGTTATGTCCATTCATCCACTTGTAAACCTCTATCATGTCACCCCTAACTCTTCGCCTTTCCAGTGAATGCAACTTAAGCTTTGTTAATCTTTCTTCATATGAAAGATTTCTAATTTGGGGAATTAACTTAGTCATCCTACGCTGGACACGTTCAAGTGAATTTATATCCATTCTATAATATGGCGACCAAAACTGAACTGCATAATCTAAATGGGGCCTAACTAGAGCAAGATATAGCTTGAGAACCACACCAGGTGTCTTGTTACTAACGCTGCGATTAATAAATCCAAGTGTCCGATTTGCCTTATTACGAACATTTATGCATTGATCCTTTTGTTTTAAATTCTTACTAATCATAACTCCCAGATCCCTTTCGCAATCCGACTTCGCAATCACAACACCATCTAGCTCGTATCTTGTAACTCTATCATCATTACCTAACCTCAGAACTTTACATTTATCAGCATTAAACTGCATCTGCCAATCCTTTGACCATTTCAAAACCCTATCTAGATCAACTTGAAGTGATAGTGAGTCCTCCTCCGAATTAATTTCCCTACCGATTTTCGTATCATCGGCAAATTTGCAAATGTTGCTACTCAAACCTGAATCTAAATCATTTATATATATTATAAACAACAGAGGTCCCAGGACAGAGCCTTGAGGCACTCCACTTACAACATTTTCCCACTCTGACTTGATTCCATTTATACTAACTCTCTGTTTCCTTTGGTATAGCCATGCCCTAATCCAGCTTAATATAGCACCCCCAATACCATGAGACTCTATTTTTTTAATCAGTCTTTCATGTGGCACTGTATCAAAAGCTTTGCTAAAGTCAAGGTATACAACATCGCAATCCTTACCACTATCAACTGCCTCAACAATGCTAGAATAAAAAGATAACAAATTTGTTAAACATGAACGGCCATTTATAAAACCATGTTGCGACTCAATTATTAATTTATGTTTTTCAAGATGAAGACGAATTTTATTTGCTATTATAGATTCGAGTAACTTTCCCACAATAGACGTTAGGCTAATTGGTCGATAGTTAGACGCAAGTGATCTATCTCCTTTCTTAAAAACTGGTATCACATTAGCAACTTTCCAAAACTCTGGCACTCTGCCTGACTCTATTGATTTATTAAATATGGTTGACAGTGGGTCACAAAGCTCCTCTTTGCATTCTTTAAGCACCCTAGCAAACACTTCATCCGGCCCTGGGGATTTGTTTGGTTTGAGTTTTACTATTTGTTTAAGAACATCCTCCCTGGTAACTGCTAAACTCGTCAACCTGTCCTCGTCCCCACCCACATAGACTAGTTCGGCTGAAGGCATATTGTTAAGTTCCTCTTTAGTAAATACAGATACAAAATATTTATTAAAAATACTACTCATCTCTTCATCACTATCTGTTATTTGACCTGTCTCAGTTTTTAATGGACCTATCCTTTCCCTAGTCTTAGTACGATATAACTGAAAAAACCCTTTAGGATTTGTCTTTGCTTGCCCTGCTATGCGAACTTCATAGTTTCTTTTTGCTTTCCTTATCTCTTTTTTAACATTGCTAACCAGTTGTACGAATTCCTGTTCTAAAGTGACCTCCCCATTTTTAATCCTTTTGTACCAAGCTCTCTTTTACCTATAAGGTTCTTCAAATTCTTTGTTATCCACTTTGGGTCATTAGTATACGATCTATTCAATTTGTATGGTATACTACGTTCCTGTGCTTTGTTTAGAATATTCTTAAATAAGTTATATATTGAATCCACATCGAAATCCCCATTTAAGTCACCTATCGCTGGGTTCATGTCTCGCTCCAAGACCGGCCCACACCCCATACCCAAGCCATTCCAATCAATTTGACCCAAAAAATTTCTTAGGCTATTAAAATCAGCTTTTCGAAAATCTGGCACTTTAACAGAATTTTCTCCTACTGGTCTATTCCATTCTATGCTAAATCTGATTTCTTTGTGATCACTGTTCCCTAGCTCACTCCCTATTTCGATGTCATTAATTTGCGTTTCCCTGTTAGTTAACACTAAATCTAAAATATTATTTTCCCGTGTTGGTTCCTTAATGTGTTGCGTAAGAAAGCAATCGTCAATTAATTCTAGAAAATCTTCTGCTTCACTATTCCCTGTTTTGTTCAACCAGTTTATTCCGCTAAAATTAAAGTCACCCATGACATAAATACTGTTAGATCTAGATGCTCTAGATATTTCATCCCATAGATGCTTTGCTTCCATTCTGTCTAAATTTGGTGGCCTATATATTACTCCTATTATAATATTATTAGCTTTTTCGTTTAATTCAATCCAAATAGTTTCTGTGTGTGGCTCTGTTTTGATTCCCTCTTTGAGACTACATTTCAAATTGTCCCTAACATATATGGCTACTCCACCTCCTCGTCTAATATATCTATCTGTGTGAAATAGTTTAAATCCATATATTTGATATTCAGCTAATAGTTCTCTATTTTCTACATTCATCCACGTTTCGGTAAGTGCAATAATATCTATTTTTTCTGTGCAGACAAGAGCATTTAATTCGTTAATTTTATTTCTTAGACTTCTACTGTTAGTGTAATATACCCTAAGTGAATTGTTATTTTGCGGACCTTCTCTTTCCCTGATCGTTTTGCCAATTCCTTTCTCCCACAAACACATACTTTTATTACCTTCTTCCTCCAAATCAATTCCCATACCTCTATCTACTAACAGTTTAAACCCAAACAAACACCTCTAACCACTTCTTCTAGCGAGTTGGCAACAGCAACAACCCCAGCTCTCGATAGATGCACCCCATCACGAGCATACATTTCATTTCTTCCATAGAAGTGTTCCCAGTTGTCTATGAAAGATATTGCATTTGATTTGCAATATCTTTCCAGCCGGCAATTGACACCAAGTGCCCTCGATATCCATTCATTTCCCACTCCCTTTCTTGGAAGAATGCCACATATGATCGGGATTCCTCCCTTGCTCCTAACTAACTCTATGGCTGTTTTATACCTCTGAATCAGTTCCTCACTCCTGACTCGACCAACATCATTTCCTCCCACGCTAATGCAAATAATGGGATTGTTCCCATTACCAGCCATAATATCATTCATGTTGTTTATAATATCACCAATGCCAGCTCCGGGATAGCAAACCCTTAACCTGTTCCCCCTATCTCTAGCACAAAACGTTCTATCCAAAACCTTAACCTAACCATGAACAGAGTAGATAATAGCACAAATTGTGTAATCGTTCCCAATGTGGAACGTCGCTCTACCGACCACTTGGGGTGGACGGTAGAGCGACGGTTTCGCTTCATGCAGGTCGTAGTTCAATTCCCTACTGTCCAAGTGGTTGGGGCACCATTTCTTCCCCCGGTCCCATCCCAAAACCTTATCCTGACCCCCCGCCCCCTTCCCAGTGCTGTATAGTCGTACTAGCTTGGCACTTTCCCCTGTTAATTATCTCTCTCTTATCCCAATCCATTCCCATGAGCGGATCTCCTCCCCCGAGGAAAGGGTGCGCCAGTACACGTATAACCTTCACGTACCACAGTATAAGCGAGGGTGTGTCTCCAGTAGCAGGTGAGGCGTTTGGCGTCGTGTAGCTGGAGGAAAGCCTGGAGGCGGGCGTAGGAGTAGGGAAAGGTGAGGGCAAACTGATAGACGTCCTGCTCCACGTCGAAACACATGGCGAAACTGAGGATGTTGTGGCCTCTGTGCTGCTCTGATTGGTAGTAGTACACGCTCTCTGCCGGCATCCTCACCCTGTGGTTGGTAGGGTCCCACCAAACACACACCCAAACTACGACGTTAGTACAACGTTCGAACAACTTTTAACACCACCTAACCAGTTATAACAGCCAATATAGCAAGTTGCAACAACGTTCTAATACGTCATAAACACGTTAAGCCAAGATGTAACAACTTTATTACAAGTTGTAACAAGCGGAAAATAGAGACAGTTTCGGTTTGTGTTTCCAGGGGTGATGCTTAGGTAGGGTGAAACACTAGTGAACAAATCCACAAGGGCCGTGACGAGGATTCGAACCTGCGTCCGGGAGCATCCCAGACACTGCCTTAATCGACTGAGCTAGTAAGTTCAGTAGAACTTCGGTTTCAACCCTTTTAACCCTGTCGTAGCTCAGTCGATTAAGGCAGTGTCTGGGATGCTCCCGGACGCAGGTTCGAATCCTCGTCACGGCCCTTGTGGATTTGTTCATTTGATGCATCACGTTAGTGTGATCTCTGTGTGTGAAACACTAGTGTGTAGCACAGATAACTTACAACTTATTCATCTTATCCCGTAAGAACGTAAACATTGGTGCCGAATAACATCAAAATACACATACAATAACATATAATCATAACAATATTCACTATTATTTTACAGTCAGGTCTCGAGTTGATACAAAAAACTCACAAGCATAAAATAGAATCTGTGGGAGGAAGTCAATATTCTCCCCGTTACCGGGAAGAGGACAATCTCTCCCAGGCACGAGAGGCAGTAGATCGAGTCTCACTTGCCCTAAACAATCATGGATTCTCGCAGTAAGACACTCAACCAGTCTCAAGGAGCCATGAAATTGGGTGAGCCAATTGGTAACTGTACTTACCTATCAGTGCCTACGGGAGAGTGAGGTCTAGCTCTTCATGTCCCGCCTACTAGCCTGCTGCATTTCAACTTAACTACTCTGTCTTTCAAATTCATTGTCGAGTGAGGCCTTAAAGTTGTGGATGGAGGCGACTTCCATCACTTCTTCTTTTAGATCATTCCACTTCTTAACGACTGGTAATGAGTACTTTCTTACGTCCCTTCGGCTCATTTGCATTTTTCAGCTTCCATCTGTGACCTCGTGCCCTGCTTTTTCTCAATCTGAAGATGCTATCCTTGTCCACCATATCTATTCCCCTAAATATCTTGTATGTTGTGATCATATCCACTCTGATCCTATCCTCTAGGGATTGTGAGATTAAGTCCCATTAGCCTATGTTCGTAACTTAGCCCACTAAGCTCTGGCATCAACCTTGTTGCAAACCTGTGTATTACATGGGAGATTTCTCCTAAGCCCTATGGGAAAAAATGCACACTCGTAAGCCTAGCAGACAGCTTCATCACCAAGGACTTATACAGCCTCTCTAACCTTTCTTCGTTTTGGCGGAACAACACTCGCATCCCAAAAAAAATGCTTCCAATACCCAAAGCTGCTGAATTAATCCCCCAAATGGTTGAGGCCGAAGCAGGCAATGCCTGGCACTAGGTACTCACCACCTGCGGCGGGTATATACTCACCACCTGAGATGATACATACTCATCGCTTGGGACGGGTATACTCACCACCTGGGACGGGATGTGGAGCGGACGAGCGGGGTGAGGCCCTCACAGAAGAGATTGCGAGACTTGTGAAGGTTGACCAAGTTGAAGATGGAACGCTATTAACAAGATTAACAGATTAGTTTCAATAATTAAATAATTGGTTTCAATAATTAAATAATTAGTTTCAATAATTAAATAATTAGCTTCAATAATTCAATAATTAGTTTCAATAATTAAATAATTAGTTTCAATAATTCAAGAATTAGTTTCAATACTAATACTTAGCTTCAGTAATTAAATAATTAGTTTAATACTTAAAGAATTAGTTTCAATAATTAAACAATTAGTTTCAAGAATTAAATAATTAGTTTCAATAATTAAATAATTAGTTTCAATTAAACAATTAGTTTCAATAATTAAATAGTTTCAATAATTAAATAATTAGTTTTAATAATTAAATAGTTTCAATAATTAAATAATTAGTTTCAATAATTAAATAATTAGTTTCAATAAATAATTAATTTCACTAATTAATTTCATGTCATTAAAAAATTCTCAAGGGCTCTAAGATAATTTTAAGAGTGATACGACCTCCCACCATCTCAGATTTGATCCACAGATGGATGAAATTGGATCCAATTTGTGGATCAAACAGATGGATTTGCAGCAAGTTTTCACAGAAGCAAAGAGGAGCTTTGTGACCCACTGTCAACCATATTTAATAAATCAATAGAGTCAGGCAGAGTGCCAGAGTTTTGGAAAGTTGCTAATGTGATACCAGTTTTTAAGAAAGGAGATAGATCACTTGCGTCTAACTATCGACCAATTAGCCTAACGTCTATTGTGGGAAAGTTACTCGAATCTATAATAGCAAATAAAATTCGTCTTCATCTTGAAAAACATAAATTAATAATTGAGTCGCAACATGGTTTTATAAATGGCCGTTCATGTTTAACAAATTTGTTATCTTTTTATTCTAGCATTGTTGAGGCAGTTGATAGTGGTAAGGATTGCGATGTTGTATACCTTGACTTTAGCAAAGCTTTTGATACAGTGCCACATGAAAGACTGATTAAAAAAATAGAGTCTCATGGTATTGGGGGTGCTATATTAAGCTGGATTAGGGCATGGCTATACCAAAGGAAACAGAGAGTTAGTATAAATGGAATCAAGTCAGAGTGGGAAAATGTTGTAAGTGGAGTGCCTCAAGGCTCTGTCCTGGGACCTCTGTTGTTTATAATATATATAAATGATTTAGATTCAGGTTTGAGTAGCAACATTTGCAAATTTGCCGATGATACGAAAATCGGTAGGGAAATTAATTCGGAGGAGGACTCACTATCACTTCAAGTTGATCTAGATAGGGTTTTGAAATGGTCAAAGGATTGGCAGATGCAGTTTAATGCTGATAAATGTAAAGTTCTGAGGTTAGGTAATGATGATAGAGTTACAAGATACGAGCTAGATGGTGTTGTGATTGCGAAGTCGGATTGCGAAAGGGATCTGGGAGTTATGATTAGTAAGAATTTAAAACAAAAGGATCAATGCATAAATGTTCGTAATAAGGCAAATCGGACACTTGGATTTATTAATCGCAGCGTTAGTAACAAGACACCTGGTGTGGTTCTCAAGCTATATCTTGCTCTAGTTAGGCCCCATTTAGATTATGCAGTTCAGTTTTGGTCGCCATATTATAGAATGGATATAAATTCACTTGAACGTGTCCAGCGTAGGATGACTAAGTTAATTCCCCAAATTAGAAATCTTTCATATGAAGAAAGATTAACAAAGCTTAAGTTGCATTCACTGGAAAGGCGAAGAGTTAGGGGTGACATGATAGAGGTTTACAAGTGGATGAATGGACATAACCGGGGGGATATTAATAGGGTATTAAAAGTATCAACACAGGACAGAACACGAAACAATGGATATAAATTGGATAAGTTTAGATTTAGGAAAGACTTGGGTAAATACTGGTTCAGTAACAGGGTTGTTGATTTGTGGAACCAATTGCCGCGTAACATTGTGGAGGTGGGGTCCCTCGATTATTTCAAGCACGGGTTGGACAAGTATATGAGTGGGATTGGGTGGTTATAGAATAGGAGCTGCCTCGTATGGGCCAATAGGCCTTCTGCAGTTACCTTTGTTCTTATGTTCTTATGTTCTTATGAAGCCAACATGAATATTGCCTTCTATAGAAGTCACAGACTTCTATAGAAGGCAATATACACCACTTGAATGGCTATAAGACTCATTTTTACAACACTTTACTAAACTTTATTTAATTTGTACTAACAGTTTAGCTATTTAGTAAATCTTAATTTTCTAAGTAACCTTGTGTTAAGAAGCATTTTATTGACACTTTTACTATCACTTTCATGTCAAAATTATCGACTTTCAAATTTTGTAAAAAAAAATATAATAATCACTTCTCTTGAACAAATCCACAGGAGCCGTGATGTAGGCTCGAACCTATGTGCTGGTTCAAATTGAACTATGAGGCTGGAATTGTGTGAAACCTCTAGTTAGGCTTCAGTGGAAGCCTCAGGAATCCTAATGGGTACAGTAGAACTTCAGGTTGCAATTCCTTTCACCATGTCCTGGTGCAGTTGACTAGAGCGCGTCTTGGAACACCCCGTGCATAGGTTCGAATCCCTGATCAAGGCTCTTGTGGATTAGTTCATTAATATATCACGATAATGTGATATCTCTGTGAACTTATCTTGAACATGTTCTCATAATGAACAGGGACATATGATCAGTAACAGCCTCGCTCCCTGCAGCGCCGAGGTTCGATCCCCCAATGATTCACGAGGTTATGTATTGAAATTTCATTCCGTCTTCATATCCCGAGTCTCGTATCCCAGCTCCTTGAGCTGATACCAGAGTTGTATGCATACAAATTCACTATAGCTTGTGTATAGTGAAGCTACATGTATACTGTATAGTGAGTATGTATGCATACAGTTTGTAGAGTGTGTGTGGGGGGGGGGGTGTAGGGTGTATGTGCCTGTGGGAAGTAGGTTTGTTTCGAGGGTGCGAGTGATATTACAAGAATATAACAAATCCACAAGGGCCGTGACAATGATTCGAACTTATGTCAGAGAGCATCCCAGACGCTGCCTTAATCGACTGAGCTACAACAGGCAGCGTCTGGGATGCTCTCGGACGCAGGTTCGAATCCTTGTCACGGCCCTTGTGGATTTGTTCATTTGATGCATCACGCAATTGTGATTTCTGTGTGTACAAGAATACACTTTCAAACTCCCCTGTATCACAGTGTACCTGTGTATCGTGAGATGTACCTATCCCCTCCCTTATACTCTATCCTCCTCCACCGATAGCCCGTCCATTCCCCCTATCCCCTACCCCTCGTTTTCCACCCCATCACTCATCTCTCCTTTACACCCCATCCATTGACCCTGCTCCCCTTCCTCTACCCTTAACCCTATCCCTTCCTCACACCCATCCAGGCCTCCACCAACAATTCCAATTTACCAGTACATTAACTTTTTCTCTCACTGGGGCTGTCTGTGGAGCCAATTTTTAATTTTCTTTTTCATCTCACGGCTCAAAAGTCGTGGAGGAGTAACTGTGTGTGTTCACTCACTCTTCGACAACCGGTTTCATCATCTTCTATGGCGAATATGTAATTTAACCAGACCACATACTAGAAGGTGAAGGGACGACGACGTTTCGGTCCGTCCTGGAGCGAAACAACATACTTTAGCCACGTTATTGTGACTCATCGCCTGCATGTAATTTGTCTCTGTAATGTGATCTGATTTTCCTCTAAATCTATGCCATCTGTGTAGGTTTCTAACGTCAGAGATCAATCCCACACGTCTGGAGGTATGGGAGGTCGCCACGTTTCGGTCCATTGTGGTCCAGGAGGGTTGAAAACGTTGCCATTTCCGATTTGTTGTTTAAGATTCGCTACCTGGAACAAAAAGTTGCAAGTAGCACGGGCTATGGCGAGCCCGTAGTGGACTTTTCGATGTTCTCAAGATGGGTAGGTTGTGAAGGCTGAGGTGTTTGTTGTTCTGGATTGAGCCGTTGATTCTCTCTGTTGGTAATGTAAAACTTTTGGGCAATCACAAGTTCCCTTTCTCGAGTCCTAGAAGTCGAGATGTACCCAATCGTTACTCCCCTAACACAAGAATGTAGGTATTGGTAATGCAATCCACCGTAAGGCCATGTTCATTCCATCCAGCGGTCGACCCTAAAGACGCATTCAGCAATTATAACTTGTTTGTCCACTCAAAATAGGAAGTTTTTCAAAGTTATTTTATTTTACCCTATTTTGTCTATTTAAGCGTAGGTTGTGTTAGGAATTTTGGTTCCTATGGCAACTATTTTGCATTTCTGAAACCTGGGTCATATTTTTGATGCTAAAAGTACCCGATTTGTTGTCATTTTTTTACCAGTGACCTTTTTTGACGTTTCTACATGTTAGCCAGAAGGGTGGGGGCCTGACAGCTGAGTGGACAGCGTTCGGGTTTCGTAGTCCTGAGGTTCCGGGTTCGATCCCCGGTGCAGGCGGAAACAAATGGACAGAGTTTTTTTGCATCCTCATTGCTGCCCCTATTCACGTAGCAGTAAATAGGTACCTGGGAGTTAGACAGCTACTACGGGCTGCTGGTTCCTGGGGGATGTGTAACAAAAAGGAGGCCTGGTCGAGGACCGGGCCGCGGGGACGCTAAGCCCAGAAACCATCTCAAGATAACCCTCATGCTAGGCAGTAAGTTACATGCTAGGTTGCATGTTAAGCAATATTATTGCATGTGTTGAAGTGCCGACCTCCTTCTGTTAAGTACATCGCGTGAGTGAAAACATTACAGTCTGGAGGTGGTAGTAAGATTGGGCTCTGATTGGTTGGTCTAACTACGGGTACGTTATTAAGGCCTTAGTTCTGATTGGTCGAGGAGGAAGTACGGTTGCCTCAAATACAAAATTAATATAAAACTGTTGAAGAAGGGATACCTACACTGACAGGTGTAAACCACTTCTGTCTACCATAAACTGAGTTTACTCTGAACTTTAACTTAACCCAGAATTAAAGTATAGCAAGCTCATCAATCTGGTAATTTGACACTAGAGTTAGTTTAGTTCATTTATTATGCACCCCATACCCATCTTGTGGGTGGTAGGGGAAAGGGTTACAGAGGCACATAATGGGCTCAGGGACTGAACCCTACAAATCATTTAGGTAAGCAAGTTTGACACTAGAGATCTCTATATAGACACTTAAGGCTTACCTGACCCCCCCCTCACACACACCTTCGTGCGTAGTTCATAGTAATTAGTGTTTAAACTAGTCTTTCAATAGCCTTGTAGTGATGCTATCAGCTCGGCTCTGTTATGTACGCGTGCGCGAACGCGTATTTTTTTGTTCAATTTCACAATTATCATTCTTTACACAAATTAAGAGACCCTTATAACAATCAACTCGTGCACTCAACACACGCACTCAACACACGCACTTACAGAGTGACGAGGAAGTCAATACCTTACTTCTCTTACCCCCCCCCCCCCCTTACAGCAGGCTCTCTAATTACGCCATCTAATGACCGAACTACCCCCTTGGGTGTGACCCTTGACGAGGTAAACCCATCACCCCCTCCCCCCTTCTTCCCCCTGAAACGCTATACATGCGTGTCTAGTGGATTTACAACCATGTAAAAAACATCCATACTATGTACTCTCATAAACTCCAAATGTACTTTCTTGTGTATAAATCAGTCTATCAAATAGAAACAATAGCCTCCCATTTTCCCTTAGCGCTATAGAAAACGGGAATGTCACATGCCAGCGGGGACTAATTGAAAGGAGGCTTTCGTGGATTTGTCTTTGTTGAATTATATGACCTTGTTTGGGCAGCTAATTATTATTTTTTATTGCAAAAACTGCTGTGATTAAATTCCAAATAATGACGGATCATGTCTGGTTATAGTATTTATTTTATTTTTTTATAATTACAAGTATTTTGTGTCTTCAAAAGATTTTTAAGATATTTATTAGCAACATAAACTGTTTGATATTGTTAATTCTTTCTTATATATGTAATTTATTAGAATACAAGATGGTGTATCGTGCTGTGTCCGGGTCTCTCTCTCTCTCTCTCTCTCTCTCTCTCTCTCTCTCTCTCTCTCTCTCTCTCTCTCTCTCTCTGTCTCTGTCTGTCTGTCTGTCTGTCTGTCTGTCTGTCTGTCTGTCTGTCTGTCTGTCTGTCTCTCTCTCTCTCTCTCTCTCTCTCTCTCTCTCTCTCTCTCTCTCTCTCTCTCTCTCTCTCTCTCTCTCTCTCTCTCTCCCTCCCTCTCTCCCTCACTGCTCTCAGAAAATGTAATATTTTACAATGAAGTAAACAAATATACTAAAAACATTCTATATGTAGAATAATTAATCATAATAATAATAGCTACAAAATGTGCTGCAATTTTTGACGACATTACTTAAGTTCTCACGAGTATTGAGGGGTTCTTGAGGTGAAAGTTGTGTGTTCTCTTTGGCTGGTGTTCAGGGCGCTGCTGAACCACCTAGGGACACCCTTGGCTCCCCTAGCCCTTCAGGATCCACCTAGGGCACCCTTGGCTCCCCTAGCCCTGCAGGATCCACCTAGGGCACCCTTGGCCTGCTAACCCCTGAAGGATCTACGTAGGGCACCCTTGGCCTGCTACCCTTGCAGGATCCACCTAGGGCACCCTTGGCCCCCTAGCCCTGCAGGATCCACCTAGGGCACCCTTGGCCTGCTAACCCCTGAAGGATCCACCTAGGGCACCCTTGGCCTGCTAACCCCTGAAGGATCTACGTAGGGCACCCTTGGCTTGCTACCCCTGAACCATCTACCTAGGGCACCCTTGTCTATCTAGGACACGTGTGGATACTTGATCCTGTAGGGTCCATCAGGGCCACCCTTAGCCTGCAGGGGCCCATTAGAAGCACCTTTGAACTGCTGGGCCTCACAGGGTTCATTTAGGGCACCCTTGGCCCTGATCGTTGTTTGAGGACCGATTTACGAAGTCCACAACCCTTAAGTGGGTCCGTGTTCCCGGACCCTATCTGAACCCAAGCTCCACCCAATTGTTGAACATCTGACGGGACAATATAAAATGTCTTCAGTGGCAAGGAACTCATGTTATTTAAATAGGGATTAATGGGCCCCACCTGGTGTATAATTCCCCAATTTTGGGACGGTCGTAGACCATCAGAGGAGCCGTGGTCTGGCTAGGGGCCCCCTGGGCCCCTGACCTAGCAGTGTATGGGATAGGAATCTCGCCTCCTGGACGACTTTGGGATGAGATAGGATGCATAATACGACCATGAACACTGTGTGAACTGTTCCTTCGTCTTCGTCAAGCCTCTTGGCAGGTAAGAGTCCCAATTCATTCTCTCTCTCTTTCAGGGATTCATTCTCTCTCTCTCTCTCTCTCTCTCTCTCTCTCTCTCTCTCTCTCTCTCTGTTCTGTGTTTCTCTATAATGTTGTCGCCTTTGTGTTCTGTTCAACTGTTATTTTCAGCTCATGTTGATCCGAATAATGCAAAAACTCGACCAATTAAGTTTCAGGTTCGACTAGATTTGTGCACAAGAAAAATATCAAGTCCTAAATTACTTCTAAACCCAAAGAAGTAGATAAAGATAAGAATGAGAAAGTGGCTAACCCGAAGGACTTTCTCAAGGAATTTGGGTTTTATTGAACCCAAAAGGACGATTATAACACTTGGAAAGGATATGAGGACAGACTAACAAGTAGGATATGAGAAGTTATTTACGATGATGGGGGCTGAAGGAACTTGGATCATCGGGGAATCGAACTCCTGCAACATCCGAATCCATCGCTCAACCGACTTGTCCACAAACGGAAGGGCCTCAACCTTGAAGATTGCGACGCCTCTCTAAAGGGCCACCTTACCTGATCAGCCTTGGCGTTGTCGACGGAGAAATTAAACCAGAGTCTTGAGCGAGGATTGCAGGTATCCGGCCGGATGAAGAGGTCGTAGTCGTACTCGGCCGCAAAGTCCACACGCCCAAGGTTACCTGTGGCCGGAAACGCATTTATTATCCGGATGTAGGCGCCAAGTGACGTGAAGAAGGAACACAAGGATTAAGACTTGCAATCCTAAAAATACCTTTCAGGGATCTTTAGGATTTCAAAATCTCAGGATTGTCAGATCCTGAGGATTTGATCCAAAAAATCCAAAGGATTGTCAACATACGGGGGGGGGGGGGTGGAAGGGGGGTGTTACAATATCAAGGAGACCCTTATCTTAGTAAGATATATTTTTTGCAGGGATTATAATTACAAGAATGTGTGAATTACTGAAAATAGTATTTGCTCGGAATCAGGAAGTCTTAAGAACTGATATGGATATGAGAGAGAGAGAGAGAGAGAGAGAGAGAGAGAGAGAGAGAGAGAGAGAGAGAGAGAGAGAGAGAGAGAGAGAGAGAGAGCTGATAAATCAGAAGAAGAATAAGAGAGGGAGAGAATAATTGGGGAACCGGCTAGTAAAAATGAAAATTGAAAGAATAAGGAAAATATGGGAAATGGAAGTCAGAAAGTTGGTGACCTTAAGTTGAATGGAAGAGTGGAGATAAAAAAAAATAAAAACTAGATGTGATAGACAGACTGGGTGATTGAGAGTTTCTGATTCGCATGTGAGAGTCGATTGCAGGACTCCGCCTTTTAGGGAGTTGAATGTTTTTCAACGGGATTGAAACCCCTCACTGGTTGGCTGGATTGACTTTAAATTAACTTCATCAAGTTTATAGAATTGACGTAAGGTCATTATCAGGAGAAAGCACTAAGCCAGTAGGTCTATATAGCCCTTTAAACGGTTACGAGGACTAGAAAGTGGGCCTGGATGGAATGGTGCCCAACCACTTTGGACCGTCGGGGATCGAACGCCGGCCTGCCTGAATGAAAGTCATCGCTTGGACCAGTCCAAGTGGTTGGACTTGAAATTATTTAAAACCGTATTGAAATTTTTTAAAAACCATTAAATATACGCTAAATATGATGCAAATACGTAATTGATTGCCAATTCACCTTAAATACTCAAAATTCAATCAACCATTTGTACCTCGGTTGAATAGTAAGATAAGGATTAGGATTCTAGAGCATTCTTCAATCATAAACCCTGTCGTAGCTCAGTCGATTAAGGCAGTGTCTGGGATGCTCCCGGACGCAGGTTCGAATCCTCGTCACGGCCCTTGTGGATTTGTTCATAATAGACTCAGGTAGTTGTGCTTGCGGGGGTTGAGCTCTGACTCTTTGGTCCCGCCTCTCAACTCCGTCACAATGTAAATGAAGGAGATTTACAAGATGCTTACTAGTAAGTATTTATCAAGCTCTGATTGGCTATTATATCAAGGTCTGAGTGGCCATTATATCAAGGTCTGAGTGACCATTAATTCAAGCTCTCTGAAAGGCTTTTCTTCCCCCCACCCCCCACCCTCCCAATCAGAACTGTTTAAATTAAAATTACGAACTACTGAAGAATTTGCTTAACTATATGGCCAATACAACCTCTGTTTCAGCTGTAATCATTTAAATTGCAAGGGAAGTAGGGGTAGGGGGGTGTTATAGTTGCTGATATTTCTTAAAATGTGTCACTGGGGCGAACCTCCTTACTGACGTATGACATTCCCATACCCCCCATGTGTCATGTGGATAAAGCTGAGATAGGCTAACCCGAAGACAAACAATTTCTGCTACAGATATATACACCACATGTGTCTCTCCCACATGTGTCGACATATATGGACACATGTGTGCCAAAAAACCTCTAAGGCAAAACCCTTAACAAAAGAAATGGTCAGTTTTAACCAATTGTCTTTTTTAATTTAGTTGGAAATAAAAAAAAAATACCTTCGAACGAAACGAAAATTCAAATAGAATTTCCAAACCTATAATCTAGTTTAACAATAACGGAGCCCGCCCACCCAAAATGTAATTTTATAATTGTGTTTTAAATTCGAGGGAAGTGCGGCCAGTCAGGCGACAATAGGGAGCCCGTCTCCATTGGATTACCAAGCTGAATTGTTTCTGACTTGATACACACGAACCGTGAACCACAGGGGAGATGGTGCCACCGTGAACCACAGGGTAGATGGTGCCACCGTGAACCACAGGGGAGATGGTGCCACCGTGAACCACAGGGGAGATGGTGCCCCTTGAACCACAGGGGAGATGGTGCCACCGTGAACCACAGGGGGGAAAGGGTGCTGGTTCTGCAGAATTGCGTGAGAACCACCAAATTGGGTTTATACTCGCCTTAAGGCAGCTCTTTACCCATCCAAATGGGTTCATAATCGCTTTAAGGGAGTTCTGTGAGTACCTTACCGGATCTTTCACCCACCTAAAGAGAGAAGAGGGGGCCTCAGCATCACCATTAGGGGCCCTCATTCCCTTAAGGGAGGCCCTTAACCACCTTTAAGTTGGTGATGCCGCTACAACTTGCCAAAAGAGCACCCCCTCATAGAGGAAAGACAAATGGTCTTGTGCTTGTAAAGCACAAGACCATTTGTCTTGCTTAAATCACTTGTTTAAATCTATGGCTTAAATAACGTATATAATTAAACATTGGTGTTGTTTAGAGAGGAAAATGAACGGTTGGCAAGGTAATAATGCACTAACAATGGTCGTTAGTGATACTCGCGCGTACTAGTGGCTTCACAAGATTGTAAATACTATGGTATGTATTCTCACAAACACAATGTACCTTCTTGTATATAAAGAAATAAACAAGAAAATAATAGCGTCAGTTGGCATTGACCGCCATTGCAGCAATCTCCTCCCTCCCCATCTCACGTGAAATTTGTGCTTATTACGCGTTGTTACGGTCAAGAAATAGTTATTTAAGTAGACAAAATTATAATTGTGATGCCGTTGTTACATTTGAAAGGCAAGTAACGAAGTGTGAGTGTACGTTACTGTAGTGTTGTGTCCTATAGTGTAGTGCATTGTAGTGTACTGCAGTGTACCGTACTGTTTTATTTTTTACCATATTGTACTGTACGGTACTTTTGTGTAGTATACAGTACTGTACTTTAATGTAGAGTACTGTGCCATTGGCTGTTCTGTATGATACGGTACTGTAGTGTATTGTAATGTATAGTAGTTAATGTATTGTACCGTAGGGAACTGTACTCTACAGTACTGTAATGTATAGTACTGTAATGTATCGTACCGTAGGGGATTGTACTGTACGTTACTGTACAATACTATAGTGTACTGTGTTGTACTGTACTTACAGCTTGAATAAGTATAATTATTATTTAATCATTATAATAATAATTAATCCAAAGTCATCATTTGTGAGTGTAAAGTCAAACATTGTTTTTCATACATATGGTATATGTATGTTTCTCATACATTGGGTATACATTTTGGTGTATATATTTGAGTTTCAATAAATAATTGTCATGAATTACTAGAGTATCCAATTAGGTCGAGCCGACCAATGAGAGTAGAGGTTGCGAGAATGTGACGTCAATTGAAAAATCGAAAGGTGATTGGCTGTTGAGTCGACTTGGTGGGTGAGGCTCGACGGAACGTTATTTTGACCCCAGTATTGGCATAGTTGTGGTGTACAAGTTAGTGTTAGGGCGTGATGTTACTCTGAGCTGGTACCCCGTTACCCTTTGGGGTCGCTAGGGCTGACAGATCCCCTAGCTTACACTCACGTTGTACACCCGCAAAACGCCAATACATAGGGTCAAAACTCTACATTTTACAGCAGCCGTATATACCCTCTTGGGGGAGGATATATATAGGCAGATATTTTATTGGTGACGTGTAATCAGTACTAAAAGAGATTTATAAATGTTTAGTTAATTGTAATGTTTGTTTTTCAGCGTTAAGTGAATGAGGTAATGGTGGGAAGACGAGGCATCGCGTGAAATGAGCAGACTGGTGATTT